CATTGTTGACCGTCAAAATATTTTAAGCTACGAAATTGATCACAAAAAACAACTTTCTTTGAATAAACATAATTTCTTTTGACGGATCCAGATATTCGACCTTCAAAATATTTTTCACTTTGAATTTGGTTTTAAAAAAACTACTTTCTATGAATAAACATGACTTTTTCTCTTCAACAGGTTTAGATTCACGACCCTCAAAATATTTTAAGCTATGGAATCAGTCACAAAAAAACTACTTTATATATAAACATGGCTTTTTTTTAATGGATTTAGATTGTTGACCCTCAAAATATTTTAAGCTACGAAATCGATCACAAAAAACTACTTTGCATAATTTCTTTCGACGGATTCAGATTCTCGACCTTCAAAATATAAGTAAAAACATAAACTACGAAATCGGTTGTAAAAAAAAACTACTTTCTATTAATAACGATGACTTTTTTTTAGACAGATTTAGATTGTTGACCGTCAAAATATTTTAAGCTACGAAATTGGTCACAAAAAACTACTTTCTTTGAACAAACGTAATTTCTTTTGACGGATCCAGATTCTCGACCTTCAAAATATTTTTTACTGCGAATTTGGTTTTTAAAAAAACTTCTTTCTATGAATAAACATGACTTTTTCTTCAACAAATTTAGATTCACGACCCTCTAAATATTTTAAGCAATGGAATCAGTCACGAAAAAAACTGCTTTGTATATAAACATGGCTTTTTTTTTTCTCGACGGATTCAGATAGTTGACCCTCGAAATATTTTAAGCTACGAAATCAGACACAAAAAACTACTTCCTATGAATAAACATAATTTCTTTCGACGGATTCAGATTCTCGACCTTCAAAATATCTTGTAAGAACGTAAACTACGAAATCGGTTGTAAAAAAAACTACTTTCTATGAATAACGATGACTTTTTTTTTAGACGGATTTAGATTTTTGACCGTCAAAATATTTTAAACTACGAAATTGGTCACAAAAAACAACTTTCTTTGAACAAACATAATTTTTTTTGACGGATTCGACCTTCAAAATATTTTTTACTCCGAATTCGGTTATGAAAGAACTACTTTCTATCCATGAATTAACATTATTTCCTTCTACGGATTCAGTTTTTCGATCTATTTTAAAATATTCAAAATATTTTAAATTACGAAAAAATGTCAAATTTATTCATTGAAAGTAGTTTTTTTTATAATCGATTATAAAAAAAACTACTTTCTATGAATAAATTTGACATTTTTTCGACGGATTTAGATTCACGAGCCTCAAAATATTATAAGTTTCGAAATCAGTCCCAAAAATCTACTTTCTATGAATAAACAGGACTATTTTTCGACTGATTTAGATTCTCGACCTTCAAAATATGTGGGATAGCTGCAATCTGAAGAACATAGTCAAAATAACTTCGACAGGAGAGGGGTCGAATGTTTCAATCCCTGAATTTCACCATTCTACACTGAATAGTATCAACAGAGTCATATCTTTGACTCTTTATGAATTTACTTTTCACAAGAATTATTTGACTGATTTTGCTAAAAATTTGGATTTTCGTCATTGAATATTACTCATTTAAAAATTACGTAAAAATTTCTATGCTTTATAATTAAAAATTGTTTGACCAGTATTAAAAAACATTATAAAAATAATAAACAATTATAATATTTATATAAATTTGTTTTTACACCGAATTATATTTGGAAAAAGAGTTTTATAATTGTGCATAAAAATCTTCTCATTAAATAAAATAGCTCTGGAGATAAGAAAAAAAACACACAGAAAAAGAAGAAAAGATAGTGATATTAAGGGAGCCGAATTTTCGAACAAGCTGCATTCTAAATAATTGAGATTGAGAACAACATATTTCCCAGATTGCGACTACCCTTTATACTCCTTGGGTTAAAAATATATATCCATCAAAAATAAGGCAGAAAAAGTTTATTTAGAAAAAGTTCCATTCTTTAATCTAATTTTGTAGCTTTAGTTAATTAAAACATTTAAGGTTTATCCTTTGACTCTTTAGGATTCAATCTAATAACATGAAGAAAATCAAATCATTAGATCAAAAGTTTTGTTTTGTGCACTGTACAAATACAATGATTCTACAATTTAAAAATTGATTGTAAATAGCAATAAAAGTAATAAATAAAATTAAAATAAATAATTCATCATTCTCATTTACTCATTAAAAGTGAGATTTTACATGTTGGAGGCTACATGTTTCCAGGAATTTAAAAAGAAACTACTAGTAATCTTTTAATTTCATTTTGACCTTACGTTTCAAAAAAATAAATAAATAAATAAAAAATTTAAAAAAACAGGTTTATCACAATTGTGATTATAAATAATTAAGGTTTTCATCAGAATTCATTTATTTAAATGAGCTGATATTTCAAAAGAAATCTTTCATTTCAAAATGTTCAATGCATTTTGGTAAGAGACTATTTAAATTTTTTATTGATTTTCATAAGTTCAAAATTTAATGTAAATTTACTGCTACGTTAATAAGAATGTTAAGTTCAATCAGACTAATTACATAAATTATAGCACTTTTAAAATTAAATTTTAAAAATCTTATAATTCTGATAAATTTTTTAGAATGTAAAATTAGAGCAAAGTGAAAAAAATTTTCAAAATGTAATGCATCTGTAAAAAATAGTTATCAAATAGGGATTTAAAGCTTTTTTGCAAAAAAAAAAAAAAAAAAAAAAAAAAAAAAAAAAAAAAAAAAAAAAANAACATTATTATGAAGAAAATTCTACCAAATGCTAGTTTTAAAACACAACCTTTAGAATTACATTTTATTTCAATATTAAAAATATAATTAAAAATTGCTATGTAAATAAGAATGTTAAGTTCAATTATTAAAACTACATAAATTATAGCATTTTTAAAATTAACTTTTAAAAATCTTATAATTGTGATTAATATTTTAGAATGCAAAATTAGGGCGAAGTGAAAAAAAAAATTTCAAAATTCAATGCATCTGTAAAAAATATGGATATAAGGATCTTTTGCAAAAAACATGATGGTAATGAAAATTCTACCAAATGCTAGTTAAAAAACACAACGTTTAGAAATAAATTTTATTTCAATATTGCAAATTTAATTCTAAACCTTTAAGTACATACAAAATTTAAGGAAACAATGCTAGGCAGGTGTAAAAATGTGTTTAAAGGGAAATTTATCTATCTATTTCTTGTAGTGAAGTATTTTTTTTATTAAATGGGGAGGTTAAGTTACTTTATTTAGAAATACTTGTCAATATGCAGTTAAAATAAGGTATAAGGCACACAATCTATTTTGTCATTTAACTTTTTTTTTTAAATGTGTGAATTTAATTTTGTAACTTTAACCTGCTTTTTGTTTAATTTCATTTTCAATTAATTTGAAACCTGCATTTGTACATATTATATCTTTTACCGCAAAACAATTTTTAATGCAGTAATACAGTTTGTTATGATTTATTTTTTATATTTCAATCATATTTATATTTATAGAATTTATCTAATTTTAAAGTAAAATTCTCAAAGTACCATTTAAGAAAATTTTATTTCACTAAAGAAAATCTTAATTTAAATCAAATAAATCTGATTTATTTTTTTTTAAAAAATAATAATAAATAAAGCACAAAACCCGTTCCGAAATGAAAAAAAGTTGATGAAAAAGATTAAATGTACCCTGAAAGTTGCACTTATAAGTAGCTTGTAGCTGTATCAGAACAGGTACTCACAGTTAAATAAGAATGACTTGAATGTGGATAAGAGACAGCAGTGGCTATGCTGCACCAAACTCAAGGTCATAAATCTCTGCTAATATATGCAATTAAAAGGAGAAAATTAAATAGTGCTAGAAATTATTTTCGATGAAGAAACAGAATAAAAACAAAGGCATGTCATTTAAACACTTCAAGGCCATGGTAACCTTATTCATCATTAAAACTTTTTTCTTTAAAGGATGTGTTTTAAATTAAAAGATGGGAGTTAATTACAGAGAGAAGCCTCGTTAACTAAAAAAGGGAGTTTTGAGCATGTATGGGTAAATTTAAAAATACCGCTGAAAAGTGTAGTTAAAGAAATGCACCAATGAGTTGTAAAGTAAAGAATATATCTCTGTATACTTAACGATGAAGATAAAATAATACAGGATGACAAATATCTAACTTAAGTTTAAAACCAAATATTTTTATCGCAACTCATCAGTAGGTTGGGCTCGTTTTGGAAGGTTTTATACTTTTTCAGTCACTGAGTTCTTTGAAAATCAAAACTTTCAACAAAATCTGTTCCAGCACACAGAGTTAAAAACATTCAATGATGCAATATATCTATTCTCTATATACTAAACCATGAATAAATACAAGTAGACAAAAAAAATAATTTAGGGCGAATTGAAAAACCGAATAGTTTTATCACAACCCCTATTTATTTCAGAAGATTTTATACTTGTTAGGTCACTTAAGTTCTTTGAAAACCAGAACTACATCTCCCAACAGCATCTACATCAGTGCACAGGCCGAAAAAAACTCAATGATGAAAGGCAATTTTTTTAAACTTTTTTACAACAGAATAATAGCCACCATATTTAAACTGCAAGTTTAATTTATTTTGGAGAAACAGGTTTTTACTGAACTTCATAAGACTTTGGCATCCCTATAAAAATATTTAGGTGCGGAATGTGACAAAATATAGATGGGAGAGTTGCGGCCCATAGCAAAAAACTTAATGACGTTTACAGCTCTATGTTATGGCCAAAGGTCACTTTAAATAATTTATAAATATGTGACAATGTTAAAACTTTTTAGTTTATTTGAAATTTTGGGTATGATATTTAATAATAATTGGAGCTACAGATTAATACAAATTTTTCATTCCGTTAAGACATCAAATTGTTGAATGCTAAATTCAAAATTAGAATGAAAATGATTGAATAGTTCTTGAGAAAATAAAAATCTTGAGAAAATAAAAATCAAAGGCTTAGAAAAGAAAAAGTAATTTTCTTACTTCAGATTGATTTAGTAGTTTCTTGTTATTTCGTACTCGTATGTGCAGTAATTGTGATTCCACTGGAGTTGGATCATCGCCGCTTAAGTCCTAATACAATTAAAATTTGCAAATATCACTAAAACATACGATAAATGATATAATTTTGGTTCAAATTTGTAATTAAAGCAGTTGTATTACCAAGTGTTTAAGTGCAGGGAAACTTTTATGAAAAGTAATGAAATTACGTTTCGAGTTTAAACTTAAACAACAGCTATAGATTTCTTTATATTTTGCATCTGAATATCTGTTATGTTTTATTTTATTATTTATTAAACACTTTTTTAAAAATGAGAAAAACAGTAAAAATGTTTTTAGCAAATTATCATTTTACATACAGCAAATATATATTACTCTTTTTTAAATTATAAATTTTAAACTTATGTTTCTTAAAAATTTGGAGCAAAAGTATAATAGAAAAATTGGTACACTGTGATATTACAATTAGAGAAAGTGATTACAATTAGTGACTAGAAGAAAAAATTGTTCTACAGTCCAAAAACAGCAATTTTGAACAGATTTTACAAAAATATAGAAAGAAAATGCACCTTAATACGTTTAATGTTTTTTTTAAATAAAAAAAAATTTAAAAATTTCAATTTTTTTTATATCTTATTTTCTTTACATTTAAAAAAAATCTTTAGATTTTTATATAAAATGAATTGTACATTAAAATATGTTAACTGTTGAGTATTTATAATAGCTAAAGAAAAACTCTGAATGAAACTGAATATTATATATATGACCTGTAAAATGCTAATTTTACAGTTTATATTACAGTCCTTCTATGATTGTTAGGAGAATTTAAAATACACTCGAACAAAATACATGGAAATTAAATAGAATTATAGATGGAAATAAATTTAAAAATCACTTTAAAAGGAGGTGATATTTTTAGTGGATAAAAAAACAGTATCTGCAGAAATGGTATGAAAGTTGAAAAAAAGACAACTTTAAATAAAAAATTGATGCTCACTAACATAATAAGCTTGTTACATTATTGTCCCAGAACCCAAGAAAAGTTAATTTGTTTCATAGGTGGTTGCAAATGGATGGTTAAAAATATCAAACCCTGTTAACTTGAAAAAGATGATAATCAATAAAAATAAAGAATTGGGAAGGGACTGCTGCTAAAATTTACTTAATATGTCTTTTTTAAGGGGTATATTAAACTAAATGAAAAAAAAAAATTTAAAAAATAAACAATATAAAAATCAATTTGACTTTTTTTGGGTTCTCAGGTGAGGCTCAAAAAAATTTGGAGGTCTGGGGTATAAACCCGTAATCCCCCCCCCCCTTTATCCAGGCCAGGTGCTCTTGCTACTAGATACCAGAGACACCGAAAATTTAAATAATATCGAAGCATCAAAAAGTTAAACTTGATAATTAAAAACTAAAAAAATAGAGACAACATATAATAATTCTATTAGTGTAAAGTAAGTATGTATAAAACTTTTATTTTTGTTATTTTCATAAAAATAAAAAAATGAGAAAGTGTCAAAATGTTTTTCTCCCATGATAGAATTTTTAGCTAGTTTTAAATTTTTATTATGTTTTTTTCTAAGTTGTAAGATAATTAATATGAAATATGTTACAGTGTGAAAATCTGATAACAAGAATTTCAATATAATCAAAAGTTTAAGCATAATATATTGTACTAAAGATGTTTTTATTATTTTACTCATTGCTACTATTTATTTTCTCAAACGTTATTAAAAATAAAGAAAAACTAATTAAACCTCTCTGCACCTGGATGGTCCAGCTGAAGTTTGGTTAGGGAGGCTGCTTTGGACCGCAAGCGATGAGTGATGAGACTCAAATGCGCCAGACTTGCGTAAAAAGAATCTTGATGATAATGATGAATAAAACTTTCTTACAAAAATGGAAATAAGTACCAAATTGGAATGCATTTGGAAAATGGACCTGGATTCAAAATCAGCAAATATGTTCTTAAATGGTTTTCTCAAATTAGAAGCAATAAATATTTAGTATCAGGACTAACATTACAGGAAAAAGCTAGAGAAATAGCTGAGAAACTAGGGATAAAGGATTTTAAAGCTTCTAATGGATAGTTAAAAAAGTTAAGAAAGAGGCATTTCCTTTAAGTCAATAAGCAGAGAGTCTGCTTCTGTGGATGCTGACATGGTTAAAGAACGATTGAGAAGCTACCATCCTTATTTAAGGACTATGCACCTGGAGACATCTTAAATGCTGATGAGACTGGTTCTTCCTTTTCTTGATAATGCAGCATCTCATCCTAACATTAATCTAAAAAATGTAAAAATTGTATTTTTTCCCTCCAAATGTAATGTCTGTTTGCCAACGACTTGATCAAGGTATTCTTAAAAACTTCAGAGTGTTTTGTTGGCAACTAATTCGAAAACACTAGATTACGAGCTTAGATGGGCTAAATAAAAAAATTTAATTTTTCAAAGCTTCTTTATGGATAATTGCAGTCTGGAAGGTAATAAGCTCAACCATTTTAAACTGTTTCATTAAAGCAGGCTTCAAATAGGATACATCAGAAAGCAATATCCTTGCAGATGTCATAGATGACACAAATTCTGATGATCCCATTTCTGAATTAACAAATTTGATTCACGTGATTGGACAATTGTTATCAACGGTAATGATTTTGTAAACATTGAATGACAAAAGAATTATTCAAATAAGAGCAAAATTGTTGAAATGGTGGCAAATAATGACGCCGAGAGTGAAAATAAAGAAACTGTTACTTAATTACTTTCTGAAAACAAACCAAAAGTGAAAACTTTATATGATGCTCAAACTTGTATTGAGGAACTAAGACTAATTTTTCCTATTCAAAACTGATGGAATTGGTGCAAAAATACAAAACTATTTAAAAAATGTATCATAAAGATATGGTTAGTTGGAACAGCTTAAAACAAACTTCTATTATATCTTTCTTTTCAACTGGATAAATGTATAACAAAGGCATGTAGCAGAATTATAAATTTTCTCTTTTTTTACGTTAAATATTATAATTTCTTTAAGTTTAAATAAATGTCAATGTAAACAGCTATTATAGATTATTTAATTATTTTTATATCATTGCATTTATTCTAAAAACAATTTATGGCATAGGTCTTTGTAATTAGTGTATCCTACCCCATAATGGACAACTCTTAAAAACCAACAATTTTTTTCGGGCTCAAGAATGCCTGCTTAATCGAGGTTTAACTGTATATACAGTAAAACCTCGCTACAACAATATTTTGGGGACTTAGTATATATATTGTTGTAGAGGGATATATTATTAAATCAAGGGTCTACATACTTTGGGGACACAATAAAAAAAATTTTTAGATTTTAATGTTATATACGTATTGTGGGGAGCGGAGTTACAGACCATGTCAACCGTCATCTATGAAAAGGTACCCCGGCATAGAGTCGAGTTAACATGTCTTATATACTAGTGAATTGTAGTTGTAATTTTGTAGTGGTAGATACGCTACAGTACTCCCCCACTAGAATTATATCTGTGATAGAATTCGATGAACGAATACCACTAGTTGATTCATTGCTGTTTTGTGAGAAGCCGGGAGAGCTGTATTAAGATCACCGTATTTTTTGAGTGCTGAATGTGAGAGGTGTATTAACTTCACGGTCGTAGTCGCTCCTCTGTTGCCGTTAGCAGTCGAGTAATCACAAGTATGCAAGCCGACGTTGTGCGTGATCGAGACGAGACTGAGTAGCAACAGTGAGAGGAGGTGGATAATGCCGCAGTCACAAGTAGCAAGTCAACTGTTCAATGTGGATCATCCATCGAAGTAGGCGTTACTGTCTAGGTAGGCGTGTTCATATCGAAGTGGGCGTTACTGCCGAGGTAGGTGTGTTCACATCACGTCCGAAGGCCACCAATGTGGGGAGCGGAGTTACAGACCATGTCAACCGTCATCTATGAAAAGGAAAAGGTACCCCGGCATAGAGTCGAGTTAAAATGTCTTATATACTAGTGAATTGTAGTTGTAATTTTGTAGTGGTAGATACGCTACCGTATTAACTATAAATCTATTTATTTATTTTTAAAAAATTGAATTTGCAAAGTGGTAATTATAGTTAAATTCGCAATCAGATAGGTAATAGGCAATTCTAAGAATGGAAGGTCTTGGGGGGGGGGTCTATGTACAACAAGGATGGGGTGTTGAAATCTGAATACAAAAGCTATTCACTGTGGTGAAAAGAAATAAGACAAGTACATAATCAGGGGTCTGTCTAGGTTTTTCTGAGAGGTACCTATTTTGTGAAAATTTAGACATAATTTGTGAAAAATTAAAAATTATATTAAAAAATCAACACAAAAATATGGATTTATCGTTTCTTAAGGGATGCAAAAATGAAATTTTAAGAAAAAGTATTTTGTGAAGCTACCGTTTTTCCTAAAATTGAATTTGTGAAACTACCGTTTTTCCTAAAGTTGAATTTGTGAAGGTACCGCTAAACGGTAGTAAATTCGGCCTGGACAGACCCCTGATAATCAGCACTGAGTCTTCTCTTGTCAGAAAAAAAATGACAAAATATGATAAAATAAGATTTTTTACATTATTTGAAAACCAATAATAAATGGAGGGAATAAGGTTGAAATTAGAAAGAAAACGTTTTACAGAGGTTTATTGCTTCAGAGAATATCGCAACATTAAGAGGTGGATAACATTAATTCATATGCAAGTTCGTGCAGATCACGTAACATTATTGTAATAGAGGGAGTTATTGTTGTATCGGATATCGTAGTAGCGAGAGTTCACTGTATATATATATATTTGTCATAAATATACAATATGCGTCTAATTGTAATATTTTTTACTTGTATATTTAGTACCTAGTCAGTTCGGCTCAAATTTTTAAAAAGAAATTAGGCTCCATTTACCTAAGAAGGTTGGAAACCGCAGGCTTACTCTATTGAAAATAATCTTTCATTTAATTGTTTGAAAAAGGAAAAGTGTTGGTTTATTATACATTGAATAGTATATTAGGCACATTAATTTATAATAACAAACTGTAAAAAAAAAATAATAATAAATAAATAAACTTACAATATATCTGATTTTTGATCTAGCAATATTAATTTTGTTCTGGAATGGGTATACAGCTTTTAAATGTTGCTTAAAAGTTTGAGGTCGAACAAATACAGGGCTGAAAAAAAGAAAAATTATTCATCAATATTTATGTTTCTCTTTAGACAAATAAAATGACCCTATTTAAAAAATTAACATGTTTTATACTTACTTTGAAATTTTGTTTAATGCTAGAGCATGACAAATTTTAAGGAACACTAAAAAGAAAAGAAAGAGAAAATAAAAATGAGTGCAAATATCTAATGAAATAAAACCATATTTTCTCGCTTAATACTTAAGAAAATGAATAAATAACCTTTTTTTAATAAAAAAAAAAGATAATATGATAACTAGAATGAATTTCTAAATTAATAAATGAACACTTAAGTAGTACAATATTTAAATTTTAAAAAAAAAAACAGCTACTAAAATTAAGAAACATTACAACACATTAGAGTGATTCTACTCTAAATCTACCAATGATTGTACCTAACTTATTTCTGGTTCATTAGTTGGTATGGTAGAACTAGAAAAATGTTTAAAAATACCAAATTTCAGATTTTTTAACCATTTATGCATTTTTGAAAAATTTAAAAATTTATGAATGTCTTGCAATTTTATAACTTTAAACATCATTCTCTCATAGACGTGGCAAGGAATTGCAATTACTATGAGTGTAAAAATTGCCAAAGCACCTACAAAAATGAAATTGTCAATTTAGCAATTGCTTAGAAAATTAGAGAAACATTCAATCTTTCACGTGATAAAAATATTACAGAAATAAAAAGAGATTTTCATATTTTTTTAAAAAAAATAAGACATCATTTTTGGAGTTTTGGAAATTATTAATTAAGCGTACAATATTGTAAATACTACAAAGGTACATTTAAAAATGAATCACATTGATTCATTTAACAGTTAAGAAGAATTATACTAATTCCTCTAATTATAATGTATAAATCACTTAATTGCTAAAAATTGATTAATTAATTGAAAAACAAGTCACTCATAATTAATATGTAACTTTAAAAACATTATACTGTGAATTGCTGAATAAGAATTACTGCAAAAAAACAATTTTTTATAATTTACTCTTTTTATTAAAAATAGCACTACATCAAAAAGAAATTCGGGAAGTAAGGAGCATTTTTTGTTCAAATTCTAAAAAAATAATTAGTAACTAATAAATAAAGAGTTTTAATTTATTTGGATATTTTAAAGAATTGAATTAGGATACAAAGCAGATACATACCCCATCCTGTCACGTAAGAATCATAACCAGATTCATGGGGAAATTTCTCAGATACTAAAATAAAAAATAAATTGAGCATAAATATATACAATGAAAGTACTTAGAATTATGTATCAAAAAATAAATATAATAAAAGAATACATAATATGTAATTTAATTTAAAGACAGACAAATCTTTGTGGATCAAAATTTGCATTATTTTGTACTTTGCTCACTTTTTTTATTTTACAGGGTGGCTACTAAGTAATATTACTGGTTTTGATTACTACAGATTTTTAGTCTAACTCAATATTGACAATATAATCAAGAAAAGTGACTTAACCATTTTTGCCAGGACTGCTCACAAGAATGTTTTCAATCATTTAAATAGAAAATTTTTTACGATAAGCATGTATTTATAAAAATATAAGTTAAAATAATTAACTAAAACTTTCAAAAATCATCACAAAGGATATGCATAAAACTCCACCAATATAAAATAATGAAAACCACTTACGATATTTATCAGAGTTAGTGTGTTTAACATCTGGCGAAAACAGCGTTGATAAACTGTCGTTAGGCCTAAAATAAAATAGAAAACGAATAAAGTTATAAAAAACAAAAACATTTTATGCAAATTTCATCCTTATAACAAAAATACACAAGTAATAAGAACATGCAAATTATTTCACAACATAAAATGATAAAGAAATATGACTTTTTAATAAAACATAATTTAGTAAGTAGAAAAGAGACAGTAAGAAAGACGGGATTGTACAGAGGAGAGACCCTGAAGCCATCCAGGTTTGAATCCCGACAATGGTCGGTCAATTTGCATACTGCTTTCTGTACAATACTAAAAAAAATATTCTATGATAGAAAGATCATGCGTTAGATTCACCTAATTTTTGGACCAACCGCTGAAAGTTTTCGTGTTTCTCATCTTCACATAATTTATCTAACACATTATAATTATTCTAAATTATGATTAATTTTCAGAAAGTTTTCTAGAAAGGGGAGCTGAATATTTGATTCTGGAGCTCTTTATTTTCTGGCTTGAGTTTAGTATTACAAAGCTAGGAAGTTGAACATTAATATAATCAAAAATCTGATATTGATTGATTGCTTGACACTAGTGTTAAAATACAATTATACAGAAACAGCTACATGCTGTGTCAAACACAAAAGTTATCAGAAGTTAAATGCAATCAAATGAAATAGTGTCACAAATTAAATTTGGAGCAACAAAAATCAAAAAAATTGCTGAGGCATCTCAGGGTCTTGTACCATTTATGTACCTAAAGAAAATAAACACTAAGCAAAATTTAATTTGCTTTAAAACCAGTATTCTATGAAATCAATATTATCAAATATAATATGAGTGTTAATTACTGATTTGTACCAAAATTAAAATTTTTTAATAAACTTCTCTTATTTCTTATCTTATGAAGCAATATTTTCTAGAAGCTGATTTAATCGTTAACAAATTAAATAAGGAATAAACACAAACTTGCTTTTAGTTTTTAAGATATTCAATTATGTTTTTTAAATGGAAAGTTATCTTTTCTAATGAATATTTAATATTATTAAACACATTTCGGTTTGCAATTAACTTGATGAAAAACAAAACAAAAGTAAATACAGAAAAAGGTTTAAATACATTCACTTCAAAATGGGATTAGAAAATGTGTTGACAAGAATTTAAGAACAGTTAAAACAAAATGCAAATTCTACTTACGAATATTGCATCATTATCAATCATTTTGACTTTCAATTCATGGTTTTTTAATAAAAGAGGGAAAATACTATTTTTAATTATATTCATAACCAAGCACCACTTCTTGCAGATCAACAAGTTACCTTTAAAAAGGTAATGGCTGCCTCACAATACTTTAAGAAACTAAAAAATCCTCCTAAAAGTTTTCGTAATCACAGTAATATCATTAAAACCATGTAAGTGTGCATCACAATGTACTAGATAATGGAGTATTATTAAAAAACATTTTTACCCAACAGAAACAAAGCAAATGAATAAGTGAAATTTTAGAGGGTTGTAAACTCACTTTTTGAACATCTCGAATAAGTCAAATAAACCAGATTGTGTTGAAATTTCTTTAAACTTGTAGAACTGAAAACAGAACAATAATTAATAAAAGAGTAAAATCTAAATAATACATCAAATTAGTAAGTTTCTAACAAAAAATTTCCAAACATACCTTTTTTACATGCAACCAAATATGTCTTGTGTCAAAAATCAAAGGAAACAAACCATGCAATTCTTGCTTGAATTCCTTATAAGTATCTAAAATTAATCATATATTTATTAAGGATATTCATCAAAAACAGCGCGTATAGAGTTAAGTAAAAGGCATCTAATAAATAGAAGATTTAACTTCAACAGATCAAAATTATACACTGTTAAAAATTAAGAGAATATGCATTGAATTTGCTGCATTTTCTGAAAAAATTTGAAACAAGGATGTAAATCTTGAGTGTGGAATATGTAAATGCATACAAACGTGTGGGCGGAGCAAGAAAAGGAATAGACTTTATAAGTGCTCATGGTGAAGTTTGCATTTTGTGCCCTCTCACATTTTGCTAAATTTCTTGGAGTTTTAAGTAAAAATCTTAACTGACTCTTTTGATTTAATTTCAAACAACAAAAAGTAACCACTAACATTTAAATGATGGAATGAGGTGGAGAATAGTGAGGAGATTTGAAGCAGAACAGTAAGATGTCCAGATTGGTAGAGAATTCAATTTAATGCCCAGCGATTTGTGCAAATTATGGAAATAATTTCAGGATTCTGGATCTATAAAGAGAAAACCTGACCAAGGTCGACCACAAGCCACAATGGCCGGTATTTGTCAACTAATATGAATTGTATCAAGAATGCTACAGCTACTCAGTTCCTCTTGTGACCACTATCAAGCCACAGGAAGCCGAATTTAAAGCCTGACTATTTCCAGAAAGCTTCATGAGAAACGGCTGTTTACATCCCGCTGACTACTGCTAACAGAAGAATTCATTTAGTACAGTGCAGAGATCATATAAATTGGAGAAAGGATCAAAAGTCAAATGTTCCTTCAAGGATGAGCTCCACTTCAGCCTGATTACTAACTCTAGACGCACTTTTATATGGACTGAACCAGGGATCCCATGTCTTTGACTTTTGTGACTGGTGTGAGGCTTATGGCTGAGGTTTTGAAGCCCTATATTTGCCTTTATATGGGTGAATAGGGCCCAAATTTCATTTTAATGGATGAGAATGCAAAACCACACAGAGCATTTCTGGTCAACCATTTTCAGGAAAAGGGAGATATTTCCTGGTTGGATTAGACAACCAGATCTCCAGACCTCGACCTTATAGACTATGCTTAAGATGCTGTGGGGAGGGCAATTGCAACACGCAACCTCCCTCCGAGAACAATCCAGTGTCTAAAAACGGTGCTACTGAACGAATGGGACAAAATGCCACAGGAACTCATAAGCTGCTTTATTTCTAGTATAAAATTACAGCATGAGGCCCATATATGTGTACGAGGGGGCCATGTTGCATATTTAACCATTTTTCAAATTCAATTCTATAACCACTTTTGGATAACGTCCAATTCTGATGAGTGTTATGCATGATCATATGCGTCCATTATAACTGTTGAATGGTTATTATTTTTTAATTAATTAACCTATACTGAAACCAAATTTTATTAAAATCTGCCAAATAGTTCTGGAGATAATAAATGAAATATAAAATTTCTTTTAATATTGAACACCAGAGTACAATACACAATATTGTGATTTTAATAACAAATAGAGGAAATACAATCATATGCACATAAAATATTATTTATTACGAAATAAGAACAATATCAATGAAAAAAATAATTTAGCTAAGATAAAAAAAATGCAATCAATTTATTTTAATGTTCATTAAAAACAGAGAGAAAATTACTTGTTAGGTTCAAAATATATATTATAAAGCACAAATGCCCAAACAAATATTTTGCAAAGAACAAAACAATAATTCAACAGTTTAAATGTTTTAACACATTTTTAAGCATACAAAAAGCAAAATTATTATTTTCACAAACAAATAGCTTAAGTAGTTTAAATAATCATTTTATTTCTTTGACATTCATAAATTATTAAATCTTGATAAAAAATTGCGATTTGCAAATTCCTTCTTTTAGACAATTATTTATTTAAACAAATTATTTCCCTGGAGAATTCATAAATGCTGCCTGAACTCAAAGAATTTTTGATTTTGAAAAATATATTAGGTAATTCATTGAATCCTGTTTTTAATACAAGAAAAAAAATTTAAGAAAATCAATTAAAAATTTAGAAAAAAATCAATTAAAAATTTAGAAGAAAATGCATAACTAAAAATACTTTAAAAAAATCAATTAAAATCTGTGAAAATAAAGTTATTTAGGACTTACTTGGAAGAGGCTTGTAGAAATTGTGAAAGAGGAGTAATAAATCCATAAGAAGATTATGCCCAATCATAGGCTAAATTTTAAAAAAAAGGTTTGTTAAAAAAAAGAAATATATATTCTTTCAAAAGAAATGAATAATAAGTACAAATATTGCATTTAAGAAAAACATTTACTACAAATCTTTTTTTTAAAACTGGTATTTAATCAACAGAAAAAATAAAATTTTACCAGAAATATTTCAGTTCCCCCCCCCCCTTTTTTTTTAGTGCTGAGTACCTATCTTTAAATATTTTCAGTGCCATTTTAAGTTCTTCTGTTTATTTAAATATTAAAAAAAACGCTTCAGTTTGACAATCAGATTATGTTTTGAGATATGACTAAATAAAGGGAAAACATACAATTTAACAAACAACAGCTTGTTTTGTGATTATATAAAAATATCTAATATATGTAGGACTTATGTAATAAATGAAATGTTAAGTGTTGTATTTTTTTACATCTAATCCCATAGTTTCAAACAAGTTATGGCTTGCTGCAGGTAAAAAATATTATTATTATTATTTATTAACAGTTTAAACAAGTTGTTATTTAATGAAAATACATGTTTAGCAACTGATTCTCAAATATATCTACACCTAACAAAAGGATTCTCTCAAGCAACTACAAACAATGATAACAAACCAACTTCAAAAAACAATAATACTTAAGATTATAATGATACTTAAAACGATGACAATTAACTAAGCTAAGTTTTTTCTGACAAGCTTTTTAAAAAAGATATTCTTAAAGCCAAACAAGTAAATTTCATGTAAATGAGGAATCAATATTATCACACAAACAATCCTATAACAAAAAATATCTATATTTCATACTAAATAATAATGTAGTAATTAAAATTTAATTTTATTATTAATTTAATTAACTTACTTTATTATATGACTTTAAATGCTTCAAGACTTTAGAAAAGCCAATATAATGTTCTATGAGACTAAAAAAATGTTTTATGGTCAGAACCAAAATAATAACTGAATTGAAGACATTTTTGTTTAAATAAGAACTATTTACTTACTTTTCTTTCTCAGCTTCATAATTTAAAACAAATTCATTATTTTCCTTAGTACACTTTTCAACAATTATCTAAAAAAAAATTATGAAATCAAGCACTTGTTTACCACTTTAATTTTTTTTTATTAGTTTGCATTAGAATAAATAAACAGCAGCACAATGTTACAAATAAAAAATTCACTAACTTTCCCAATGAAAAGAAATGTTTATATATATATATAAAAAATAGTTAATTGTTTTTGTCATTCATTGTTAATAAAAAAATAAAATTTTTACATAAAATGCAGATGGTTTATTAATATAACTCTTATGTATGTTAAAATATACATTTCACAATACATGATTTATTTTATTTACACTTTTCGCTTTAGTGGAGTTTTTTAGTATCCAAATTATTCTTGGTACACATCAATTCAGATAATAAAGGATCTGTTGTATTTCTAAAAAACCTATTATTAAAACCTATTTTACAAGGTTTATGTACGCCATAATCCATAAAAGATTTTTCTTTAATTAAACGAACAATTAAAGACTGAAAATGTGTTATATCGCTGGGCTTTGCTTTAAAAGCCAGACATCATAAAGTATGTGAATGTATAATCAAGTATTTTGGAAATGAAGAAAAACTATGTATTATATTAGGGTATNATAAAAATAATTTTATGTTAAAGAATTGGAAATTTAATTTTAAAAAAAAACTTTTATATAATATGATCTATCAAATTTAAGCAAAAAGTAAAACAGTTTCAATGGAAGTATCTTATAATTCTCTTATACTATATTATATTCTCTGCTATACTATTTAAACATTCACTGCTATACTTTTTTTAAAAGTTTATGCATTTTACTAAAAAAAATTATGCTCTTTACTAAATGATTTCGTTTTCATTTAAAAATATTAAATAAACCATATCAATGTCTTTATCAAAACTTTAATTTTAGCAATAAGTGAATTATTTTGAAAATTATGGAAGCTTCAAGATGAAAGTATTTAAAAATTAAATATCAAGGGAACTTGCTGCCATACTGGAAATTAGATAACGCCTAAAAGTTTACACAAACAATTCAAAAAGTATTTTCTGGTTTGTCTGAAATAATTAGCAGATGAACATTTTCATCACTTTCTCCTTTAAATAATAATTTAGGATATCTTTTAATTTGAAGAATTGATCTAAAAAGACCCTAAGAAAGGAAGTGAGGTTGTAATTTTGTGATGCACTATTTTACACAGTTTTGCTACACACAAATGATGACAATAAACATACAACAAAAATAATCAAAATATCAATTAAATAAACAAAACTATAAAGTAAAATAACATATCACGCAACAAATAAAAATTCAATAAAACCAAAAACTGACATTATCATACCTTATCATTTTCGGAATAAATTTTCAAAGTAGGATACTTCCGCCTTAATTCACTAATTTGAAAATACTCATGGTAAACTGAAAAAAAAATGCTTGAGAATTTATTGGTAAATTAAAATGTAAAAATTACATGGTATAATGTGGATATTTAAAATGGTAAAAAATATAAAAATGTAAATAGATTTTCTAGAGTCAAATATTTGTTTTTCATTCGATGCATGTACTGATCAAAATACATCTTGATTTAAAAAAAAAAAAAGTTCATGACATTGTCATTGTTTCAGAAAATTTTTACGATATATACTTCTTACCGAAATTCACTTATATAAATCTGAAAGATTAACAGAAGTTCTTATTTCTTTTCAATTTTTTGGAAGACGAACATGACCACATAGTCTGCCTTTATTTCTAAAAAAATTGATTAATTTAATAAAAGGACTCAATATTAATATTTATATAAATTAATCAAGAAAATTTTTAATTATCATACAATTACTGTATTGTTGTAACCACAATTGCTTTTCTACATCATTCATTTTTTAAAAACATCTTGCATTTATTTCCAGAATTTTGTAAAATAGAAATCGTATGAGGGTTACCATTTGTTTATTCAGGAGACATTCAATGTGTCTATGTACCTGAAAGCTGTAGAGCCGAATCTGGAATTTAACCAGGCACAATATAAGGAAATGCTATTGTATTTCCTTTTATAAATTGGATTTAAAAATTCAGGGTATTTAAAATTGCATGTAATGAATACTGAAATAGTACTGAATATATTTTATCATATACTTAATGTTTACAGATTAGTCCTGACATTCAAATGGTACTGAAATAAAACATTTGAATATAATTTAAAATAGGAAAAGTGAATGAAAACTTTTAAAAAGTTTCTAAATTTAATAAAATATATAGGCATTACTTACTTGTCTCCCTATCAAGAACTAATCTGTTTGCCTTTTCAGTTTCTTGACTGATATTATTGCTTGGTTTTAATTTAAGAAAACTATTTATCAGCATATCTAGTTCTATTTTTGATTTTGATGCCATTAATCTAAAAATATATGTATACATGTAAGTTACAACAAATCATATTTTTAAAAAATATACTATATAGCTAAAAAAGTTACTTTATTTAAATTTTTTTAATACAAATTTTTGTAATATTATTATAATTATATCGATTTTGCTTAGTAAAATTCAGATTTTGTAGAGAAAAGTAAAGGTCTTCGGGACGAAAGAAATATTTTTGAAATTTAATACACATCAAAATTTAAATGTTATTTTTTCCAATTGTGGTTTTACTTACTTCTGAATTGAATGCTGAATTAAATGGTACAAGATCAGAGTGGATCATACTTTGCCAAATGAAAATGGAAATATGTATAGTAAATAAGCAGATCAAATGATGCGGTAAAACAAATCTGATTTTTTTAAAAATAAACAGAAAAAAGGGGAAATAATTACTGGTCTTGAGATCTTCATACTGAAAAATTCATGATATTAAACAAAAAAGTCTATACATAAACTCATTATGAGTTTTATAAAAATTTCTCGAAATGAAATAATTTTCTAAAATAGATATGATCTTAATTTTTTTAAATATTTAATTTAAATTTTTAAAAAATGCTTGTCCGAAAAATTAATTAAAAATGTTTATTAAAATATCATTAAAGATAATAATTGATAATATCACTAGATAAATTTGTATAAGATATGATTAATTACATAGAAAAGATTCAGAATAGATTGAAACATGCTTGCAATAAAGTTATGTGTGATTTTTATGAGCTAATACTTAAAGAATTTCCAGAATGAATAGAAAATTTCCATGACGCAAGTTTTCTTTAGTTTCTGGTGAAAATAGCCACACAGTCTAAATGCAAGTAATAAAGTTTAAAAAAATTTAGACAAGAAATTAATCAAATACTTACTTCATATGACCGTAACTGATTGTATTTTCTTCGATTTGTTTCCGGATTTCAATCTCTTCCACTTCATTGAGATATGGAATTCCTTCTTTAATAAACTACAATTATATACAATCGTAGAAAGGTTTATTGAAACATAAATGTCTAAATTAAATTTAAAAGAAAAATCAAGATACAGATATTGAAAATTTGCTAACTATGCTCAGAGATGTTAATATTCAAAACTAACTATCAATAATCAAAAGTAAAATAACACAGAAATATACAATTAGCATTAATAAAATTCAAGACTGTGCAATTTTAATTTACATGCTACTATATATATGCTACTTTATTTCATAAACGTATAAAATATTAATCATATATTTATTCTTCAATCTCAAGACAATAAACTTGAGTGGGAAATCATAATAATTACAGATAAATCGTAATAGTTGGCTCCTCCGTGCACTTATGGAATCATAAAAACTAATTATTTTATGAATTGTTCTAGATTAGATTTATTGAGAAATACTCATTTTATATTGTGTCTACAAGAGCTAGGTGGCTCAAAGTAATGGAAAGATGTGAACTAACCTAATTTACACAAACGAATACAAGTAAAACATTTTTTATTCACATAATGTTTTTTCTGTTTTTCTTTGCGCAAATAATGCTAATTCAAAATTTATATTTCCCTATGCCACCATGGATATCAATAAAAAAAACATTTATAAATACAGCACATACAACATATTTACATAAAGTAATGGGGAAATGTCCATTTACTAAGAGTTGTTGTACTTCAACAACATTATTTATAATCATTAATAGTTTTTTTATTGATTTATTCAATTTACATTTTCTATTTTATTAATTTATTACTTAATTAAATATACGGTAATGTATACCAGCCGTCTTTGGTGACCATGTTGATCACCCACTTAAACTTGTTGCTTACGGACCCCTCACTGAATTGTCTAGCATTTTAGCAAGATGATGCTTAAATAATTAATAAAATAAAAACTACAAAATTGAATTTTAAACTTCACAATACAATTGAATGTACTTCCAAGAAAATTTTTTTAAATTATATTGGCCAGAGTTTCAATTTGAATTAAACAACAAAATAGCAACTGAAATATATTTGAAACGATGCAGCAGAAATATAGTTACTGCTTAATTTAATGCCCAGGATTCTAAAAAATACTTTGATACAATTGTCTTCTTTGTGTAAAATTTTGAATTCTTTTCCTTCTAGTAAGACTTCAAGCTTATCTCAGTTATTTTTTAAATCAGTTCAACAAAAACTAGTTATATGATATAAAATCTTACACAACTGACCATGTTAATTTAGTTTCATAAAAAATATTACTATTTAAAAATGTCATTGAAGCTACTGTACTACTATATACACTACTACTATTTGCATATTATTACTACTTTTTAAAAGTTTAGTTAAAAAATATATAGAAAGATGTTAGTACAATAATTTACAGAAAATCTATCATGGAGTAACAAAATACAATAGTAAAATCTTTTTAAATCCTCTATTAATGTATTTCAACAACTGTAAGTTTGGCATTGAAAGCAGAGTAAGTGTGCTTTGAAACTGATTATAATAATTGATACCAGTTTAGGCAGAAAACTTTTTTTACATGAAAATTTATATTTCAAATTTGTAATTTTTTATGTAAATTCTCAAAGTTACAGTACATATTTCTAAACATATCTTTATATATTTCTAATCTTTATATATTTCTAATCTTTATATCTTTACATATTTCTTAAGTCAGAAGATTTCTTAATAAATGTAAAATAAAAATTAACTTTAATAAAAATTAGGAATTATGATAACAACAATAACAGGGCTAGTCAAACAATATTCTTAGATAGTGATAAATTATAACAGGGATCATTAGAAATATTTGTCATCACTCTTAAAATTAATTTGAATGATAATAATTTGAGTTTGAGAATAAAGACAGTTCTACAATGACTGAAACATGTTTCAAATTTGCAACAAGATAGGAAAAAAATTCAACTAATTACCTTATTAAAATCAAAGTCATATTGGCAAAGGAAATCTAAGCATGATGCCTATAGAAAAAAAAATAAACACTATAATTAAAAAATCTGGAAATATTATAGATAAAAAAACGTTGTTACTATGATCGACAATCTAGATATAAATTGAAATAATTTAATATTTACCTAACACAACTATTTTAGCTATAATATCAGACCCTAGATATTTGCTCGGTACTCATACCTGAACAAAATCAATATTTGTTAATCCCTTAACGATCGGTTAATTTATCAAGAAAAGGTCATAAAAGTGCCTATTTTTTTGGCTTTTGTATTTGTATTACGTATTTGATTAGTGCTGCAACTAGTTTAAAATAAACTAACTATCCACAATTACCTTAAAAATATCCTGGTACTGTCATCAGGTGCGTAAAATGAGAAATAAAATGTTTTCCGGGCAAAAAGAAATGAATTAGTTTTATTCTTATTGGCGCGTTACTACTGAACACTCCAGCCCGTCAATATCACGGGAGCAAGAAATAGCAGGCGAAATTTCCCCCCGTCATTTTCAGGAGAGCAAGAAGGAAGGGGTTAACACAAAAGTTTAAAAATTTCTGTATCAAATTGACTGATTGTTAATTGATATTGACGGTTTTCCCTAAACTTATTACCGTAGTGATACATTATTCATCTAAAAGAAGTGAAATAAGCAAACAAACTATATTTAGTAGGATTAGATTGCTTGAACCAAACCAAAGCAATGAAGGTGACTGTTTCCTTTTCATCCAATTTAAATATGGCAGCTAATAAGAATTTTTTAGTGTTCATCATTCAGTGTTTTTTTGCTTGTATTTTTTATTTCATTGAGTCGTAATGAGATAAGTGATGACTACAAATTTTGCACTTTACCACAGCTTAATGTTTAATAATTGCCCTCATTACTTAACATGCATACTTAAAAAGGCACTTTTTACGAAGAAAAAATCCAGAAAAGTTACTTTTTAACAAATTAAATTGTTTTAAAGAATAACTTTTAAATAATCTAATGCAATCTGCTAATAGCAAAATTAATGAACTAATATGTGCTGTGAAACAACATTTAAATTATGGTTTATTAGTTAATTTGAAACACATTTTCTGACATAAATAATTACTTATTTACCTATTTTTTTATCAGAAATACTAGATTATTTTATAATAGAGCACATAATAAAGTATTATCAGTGTTATTTATAAATGATCATAAATCTCAAATAAAAACAAAATTTAACGCATCTTTCATTTTTCAGCTTCAAGGAGCAGTATAAATTGAATAAAAATAAAAGAGAACACAAAATATATTATTTATAAAATTAATTTCAAAAAACTTTTTTCTTTATTTTAAAATTTTTTCAAAGAACATAAGACATCAAAGTTTTTTTTAATGCATACTTTTTTACTTGTGATCTTTTAAATTAGCATGCAAAATTCATTTGTATACTGAATACATTTTGCATCATGCAAAATGTATAGAGTATACAAAGATATTATGATATATTGAATATAATTTCATATAAATAATATACAAACCTGACACATAAATCTTCGATCAATGCTACCACACATGTAAGGTCTTATGTAAAATACATAAGTTTCCACCAAGTATCTAAATACAAAAGTATAAAACGGAAATTAACAATTCAATTTTTAAAAAACAGATCTTAGAATAATATGCAAAAACAAAGTAATTAAACTAAAAGAGAATTGAGATTAAAAATGGAATATAAAGGTCAATCAAGTTTTTAAAACATTTTATTAATATAATGGTGCAAATATGCCTATAAAAAAGATCTATTTACAAAAAAAGTTATCTTAATTTCTGTTTTATATTCTTCTAACATATTCATTCCTCCCTCAATCAAATTATTGTTCAAAATTACAGAAACAAATTCAATATTTGGTTACTAATAGTTACAAAAGAAATAAGAATGCACATTGATATTATAATTATAAACAATCAGTCCTTCTTTCACATACCGTAATATCTCAATTGTTTTTATGGTAATTATTCTATTATACAATATCAAAAAAAAGTATAATAGAACAATAAAAACTAAAACTATTTAAATGGATGCACTATAGAGAATTTCTAAATTTATAAATTCAAAATGGCACACTTTCATAATCTAATAAATAATGAACTTATTTTTTGTATTATTTAATTCACTAATTTTAAAATAAATTTCATGTTAAGGTTTGAAATAAGTGTAATTTACAGGTTTTTACTTGTTTCTTTATGTTAAGATATTACTTTATTTCCACTTACTTTAATGATAAAAACAATATAGGGAAAATAATTAAATTACAAATTCTCATTCATAACAAACACACAAAATTATAGAATATTTATATTTAAGTAAAGTCTTACATGTTTTCCTCCCCATCTTTTTTAAACGTCGATAGACCTAATGAAACAATGGAAAGAAAATTAAGAATTCATGAGATGATCATCTATATTATTTACATTAATAGAAGCAAAACTAAATGAAACGAAAGTGCTATAATCCACATTCACAAATAATGAAAATATTTCTATCAAAATATACCTGCTTTTATTTTTATTTTATTTTTTGGAGAAGATGAAATGGAGCAACTTATAATTTTTATTTATAAAGTTTTTGTTAAATTTGGTACTTTAACAGCATGCAATTTGTATCAAAACCTAGACATGAATATTGATCAAGCAAAAATGTACGAGCTAAAAACCATGATTCAAGATAAGAATAAGATTTTAAACTGTTCCCCTTAATTTTCTACAGAGCTTGAAATTGCTAGTTACCATTTTTCCCAGGAAAGTACAACTATGCAAATATTGATTTTAATACTTTAATTTAAAATTCTTGAAGAAAAATGAAGCAAAAAATATGGGCACAGTGGAGTTTCAAATTAGTATTTAAGCAAAGAGTCTTAATAACCTTAATAGTGGTTGGTTTGAAACAAATCACTAATAAAGTCAATAAGAGTAACAGAAGAATCATGTAAAATCAGTTTTATTTAAGGAGGAAACTTAAAAGCAACTCTGACCCAAAGGCAAATACATTTCTGTCTCACTAGACAATTAAAATTTTCCTTTTTAATTGCTTTTCCTGATATCAATTAATGATTTATCAGCATTAAGAATTGTTTTTGTTTCCTCCCACTTAAAATATTTACTTGGGACCTTCAGATCTCCACACAGTTTTCTCTCTTAATTTCTTTTCAAGAATAATAGAGATAGATAAAAATTTACTTGTGGAAAATCCTGTATCAAAATTTTATTAGGATATTTTTTTTTTGTAATTAAGCTTAAATTAACCGGGTAACAACAAAAAAACAATTTAACTGGTAATCAATAATAATTTAACGTTTTAATTCTACAATTCTTGTTATATACACAAGAACCAATTTCTATGCCATTATTAGGAGGAGGAACTTTGCTTACCAAGGAAATCTGCATACAGACAAAAATAAAAGCTAAAAGATATGCTAATACTATTAATTTAATTTACGCAACTTTGAGGACTGTTTTGATATTTTTTAAATATAATAAGAGAATACTTTATAAGCCATTATAGTAGTTCAATACTATAAAAATAATCAGCTTGAATGTTTGATTAGGACACCTCTAAAAACTGATAGGATTATTTAAAAAAAAAATGAACATTTATACTCTGCAGAAAATCAAGAAATTATCATTTTGATACAGTATTTAAGCATTTATCTGCTAGTTGATAGATAGTTCTACTTCATTTAATTACCAATCCATACTGCTATACATACAGTCAATTTAAAATAAATAAACCAAAAGTAAAATAGGCCAGAATAATAGTCTTTTTTTTAGACTGGAATAATAGTCTTTTTAAAGTATATATTGTTTCAAGATTTAAAATTATATTAACAAGCACATAAGTTGTTTTGTTTAAATTTCTTAGGAATAATATTTCTGTTTGTGTAAGCAAAATTAATATTAAATTTAAGAACTAGAAATGTAAAACTCCATAAAAGCCATGAAATTTTATACTCCAGCATACATACCAATCTGGCATGGTAAAAAAGATGAAGCTCTTGCTTTCAGCTTCTGGTATCGATTTTCCATGCTATCAAACAAGCTTTAAAAAAATAATAATAAAGAAAGTTAGTAGGTAAAAATAGATAAATATAATAAAATCTATCTTATCTTATATCTAAATCAAATATATTTAACAAACTATTGTTTCTAATTTAAAACTGTTTATAAAATGAAAAAACCACAAATTGTATACCTTGCTTCATTTGTAGCACCTAAATATAGACCAGTGAATTCTGCATCAATAGCTAAAAAAGAATAACATGTTTAATTTCAATTTCTTCCTTTCATACGGTACCAACAAACAAAAAAATACATCTCCAATTACATGCTTTAGTACTCCAAACCAAATTTAATGATGTATCCCCATTAAATCATAAAACATTCCTATACCAAAGTTATTAATCTTTTAAAATTAGTTTCTTAATATTATCTAAACTTTAGTAATTTTTCTTATATTCCAACAAAAGTAAAACAATGTTTAAATATATTCTCTAAAGTCTACCTAATATTATTCATATTTTATTATTATTTTTTCTTATTGCTATTAGCATTATTTATATATACTATTAAAATATTTTACGCGAAAGTTGTAATTTTACTTCATTATTTATTCTTAAATAATCTAGTTTACATACATAATCAGCAATGAATTTATCTATTGTGATTGGTTGAGGAAGTGTAACTAAAAAAAGCTTATTAGTTATAATACTCCTTAACTCATTGCTGATCAGCAACTTTTCTGTGGAACAGATATGGAAGTAAAGCAATATAAATAAACTTTAAAAATTTTTATTCATTATTCAACTCTTAATATTTCTTTTTCGTATGATAAAAAGTATAACAACCACCTATGTGTAATGGTACAATACAAGTTTTGCAAGTATATCGGGTTTCATAAAGTTATAATAAATTGGTAGAGAATTAAATAGTAAAACTTGAAAAGTAAGGAAAATTACGCCCACTTTTTAAAATAGTCACCAAGAGATCACTGCTAACATGATTGCTATGACTCGTGATCTGTCAGAAATGAGAACAAGGCACTTGTAAGAGCTATTTGCAGTTCCATTCCAAAATTTTTTGATTTATTACGCTTATTTTGAAAAATAAACATAAATGCAATGATAAAGTAACATTTCCTTACTACTATTTTTATTATTTCAATTTAATAATAAAATAATAATCAATTAATAGACAATATGTATAATTTTCATTAAATATTGCGTAAAATTCAACAACATTTAATCAAATTTTCAACGAAAATTTATGTAACTATCATTATTCATGTGAAATTTTATGAATTTGGAAACTAAATAAGAAAATTTTAATTTACAAATTTGGCTATCTCTTGTTCAATATTCATAAATGTAAACATATCTATAGCTTTGTGTTCTTTCTGTGCTTCATGTGTAAACTTGCTATCCTATATTATCAGTGTTTTCATTACAGAAAAAAAATGAGAGAGAATTTCTCACCCTTTCTCAAAAACAGGGTGAGATCTCAAAAAGTTAAGTGAGATTTCTAAAAATTAAAATAACGCGAATAGACTTGGAAAAAAATATTTCTTTAATTATAATACATTTTTAACATCTAATTTTTAAAGAATTGAATATTTTTGCTGCATCATCATATGGAAAACGTTCTATATCTACTTTTTTATCAGCTATTCTCATTAGGTTGCTCAAATGTTTATCAGTCATTTGTATAAGCTATTTTGTCCTAATTCGGTTTTGAGTGCTAAATGACCTTGCAACAGATGCTGAACAATTCGGAATCTCTAAGTAAATTTGCAGCATTGAAAAGAATTTAAACGTCCTACATGAAGAAATATTACCTTCCGTGAAAACGTGGTTGCAGAAAAATGTTTTCTGAAAGGTGTTCTGTCATTCGGGGGGGGGGGGCATTGGGTTCTGCTGTTGGCACNTGCTGTTCGCACCGGTTCTGAACAATACTGGTAAATAGGGAAGCTAGATAACAGGGATCCATGTTGAAAATAATGAAGGATCAAGGAAGAAAAGTGAAACAGATTTTATTCAAAATGGCAGAAGACGAATTTTTTTCCAAAATTCGAGCATTTTGAAATTGATTCATAGAGTGTGTGATCTTCTCGCGTTGATGATTTTTTAATGCGAGAAAAGAAAAAAATAACCGAGATTCTCGCGCTGTAGTGAAAACACTGATTATAACCTCAATTATTTCCATTTCCTCATACAAAATCAAAAATATTTAGTACATTACTTTGCTTCCATTATTGATAAAATTCTTTCCAAGGATTTTATCGATAAAAATAAGCAATTATTGCAGTTTATTTTGTGGCCAATAATTAAACAGCTTTATAAAAAAAATTTAAAAATCAGATTTACACATTACAAGATAAAACAAAATTAGTTTCAAATAATGCAATAAGGAACCATCCATATATGATATTAAACTTTTTTCCAATACTTTGATCTCTCATCTTTTTTATCACAAAATGTCACACTAAACCATAACCCCTATCTTTGCTTGTCACATGTCATGTTCAATGGTCTGAAGTAGCAAAGTTTCCTTAGTAGTTTGTAGTGTAGCGTGCTAATTTTGAAAAAAAATAGTACAATGTAGTGCGTTATAAATAAACAGCAGTTTGTAGCAATTCCTAGCAACTACTTTTACAGATTTCTACTTCTACATTTGTTTAGTAAAGAAACAAAGTTTGCAACTAATTTTTCAAATCTGATAGGTACAAGTCTTCGCAGTTCATCAATGGATGCAATGAGAATGGCCCTTATGACCGAGTGTTAATAAGAATTAAGCATTAGTAATATTAAAACAAGCTGTTAGGAATAATAGCTAAGTTATTAGTTTCGTCACTTTTTAAATGCAAGAGTACACTCATGAATCATTGATCTTATTTAAAAGGAAAGGAACATATTTTCGTGTAATTTTTGGTGTACTTTATTTCTTAGAAGGAAATAGAAAAGCATTAAACACTTAACAAAATTGATTAACAAAATTGAAAAATATTTGGTAATTTTCTAACGCTTCTTAAATTAAATATTTTCTAGCATAAAAAGTTGAGGGTTAAAAAAAACAATTTGTAAAAAATGGTTTGAATAACTAACTGGTTATGATGTAAACATCAATAAATATTTCTTATTTCCTTACGGATTGACCAATTTTTTATTCAAAATCATTTTGGACATGGGTGTAAATTAAGTTCTCTAACAAAGTTAGACACCTTAAAAAGCGAAGGGACTACATCTTGAAAATTGTTAGCCGTCACCACATTTAAAGAAAAAAAAGTAGTTAAAACATTTGTTATAAAGTAGTTATAGTTAACTACAAATATAATGTAGTTTCTCTGACCACTGGTCGTGTTATAATCTATAAACAAATGCTAGCAATTAAAAAACAAAATGCACATCATAGATCATACTTAAAATTTCATTTTTAAATTTTAACAATATGTTTTTATGACACATGTTCTGATGACATCTTATAAATATTATTGATTAAATTTGATGATTTTAAAAATATTTTTCTACCAAAATATTTAATGTCATACTTTTTGTCACCAAACCCATATACACATCTCTGAGGTATGAATCAACATAGAGTTTTATAAAAAATTTAAAAGAATCCTAGATTTTCAAACTAATTTTGCCAAAATGAGGTGGCAACAAAGAGTTAAACAATGCGTGCAGAAAGTTTTTTAATTGAGATATTGTGCCAACAGAAAGGTTTTCATTTTATCTAAGTCTACTTGTCAACCCATCCTTCTCTCTTTTTACAATTTCTTGTAACTTTTCCTTGCACCCTCTCTCTAAGCTTAATATAATTTATAGACTGTTCCTAAGACTAAGTTATTTATAATTAATAATAAAGATAAGAAATTATTAAAAATAAAACAAACCATTTTTAAATCATATGATCACAAATAAGAACTTACCAATAAAACTAGATTCATCAATTGCATTTTTAATTAGTGGTAACAACTCCTTAAAATTAGAATTAGTAACTTCAACCATAACTATAAAAGAATAAAACAATAAGACATAAATGAAAGCACTGAAAATTTCAATGAAAGTGTATTATAGAATGGACAAAGCTATATATGTTAGAACTAGCATATTTTCAAAGCTGTATTGTAAAAAAAGAAGAAACAAACTTATGACTCCTGTAATTAAAAAAAAAAGAATACCAAAATTTGATAAAACTTTAGTCACAATGCCAAACATATAATTTTCGTAGTTCAAAAACGAAAAATAACATAAAATAAAAGAAAATTTTCGAATATTTTATTTTTAACACTTCCAACATTTTACTAACAATAAGTTAATGAAAAGGGTCTTTCAATGCTTATTTTATTATTAGTCAAAACAATAATTGAAATTTCACCATTTTAATTATAGTTTGCAATTTTGTATGTATTTGTTAAATTCAAAGAAAGATATAAATGATTAACTTAGATAACAGTAAATAAATAGAAAATATGAAGTAACGAAATTACTTCGTTATTAAATAACTGTACATAACGCAATTTTCAAGTACTATAAATAGATAGTAAAGCATAAAAACATTCCAGTATTTAATTTGTTACCGGCTAGTTTTAAGGACTTGAAATCATCAAAAATGCTAATAAAAACTAGTAAAAATTATCACAGTTTAAAAGTATAAAAATGTAAAAATTCACAGACGAAAAAAATCGGTGAATTTTTAAAAAAATTCTTTTTTTATTTTTTGATATTTGATTTCGAGTTATGTTTGTTTACAAATAGAAACTAACACATGTCTAATATGTTGCCATTCTGAAAAATACTTGGAGAAAAATGAATAACTAACAATGTAAGCTTCAAGCGTCAACAACAATTTAGGTTTAAAAATTACCCTGATTAAAATTTTGATCATACAAAAATAGGCAGTCGAAATATTATTGTTGTAGTACCGGTTGTTTGTAAATGTAAATTTCGTTGCTTGCAAATGGTATTTAACATATTAAAGATTATCAAATAATGGCTACTCCTGTTCAAGAACAAATACAAATCACTGATGGTAGGTTCTGTTTTAAATTTATATTTATTCTTTTAAACTATTGTTCTTTCAATTAGTTTTTATTTCAGATGAGGTGTTCCGACGTAAACTTTTAATGGATGGCGAAGGGATGGGTGATGAACGAAGACTGACACTATTATTGAAAAGTTTTTACAATTGGTGTGATTCTAAAGGTTTATCTGAAGAACAAATGTAAGCATTACTCCTTAATATCAGTACTATAGATATTCAATTCTTTTAATTTCGAATAATTCTATTTTTATTGCTTTGTGAGTGTTTGGATGTCGACCTTCATCTATCAAAAGGTACCTATAGTTAGTTAGCATGTTTTATATACAAGTGAATTGGAGTTCTATTATTGTAATGGTAGTTAAACTGCCTTCCCCCCACACCACCTCCACCAGAATTTTATCTAGGGTAAAGTTCCATGAATGGATATCACAACTTGATTCATTGCCTCTTTTCAAAAGACTGGGAGAGCTGTATTAACTTCATCGGATTGTGAGCTCTGGTGATGAAAGCTATATTAAGTTTACTGGATTTACTGCGTTGTATTAAAATCACAGTTGTGTGTACGTGGTAGCTACTGTGTTCTATTAGTAGTCAAGTGTGTACCATCTCCAATGGTGTGTGATTGAGAATGATTAGCAACAGTGTGAGGAGGACAATGTTGCAGTCACAAATAGCAAGTCAACTGTTCAATGCATACCATCCATCAATGTAGGCATCTTCAAATCGAAGTGTGAAACTCCTTCAGTCGCCTTGTGGACACAAACAGTGTACTCCTTTACATTTAATATTTTTCAGTCTTGGCTCTTGATTATGGTCATTGACACAAAATACGTTTCTTTTTCAATTTTTGGTTTTTGTTAATTGTCTATAAATATATGGAAAAGAACTCCCAAGAAATTAAAAAATAAGATAAAGTGCTTGCCTCTAAAATATGGATAACTTCAATTTTTAAAAACACTTATTTGTTCCTCTAAAATATGGATAACTAGTTTTTAAAAACACTATTTATAAACACTTATTTGTTATTTGAACAATTATTCAGGGTTGGCTGGTTTAAACTACAATTAAAACCAGACATGTTTTTATTTTAAAGAAGAAAAGCAAGTTTATATATAGGTATTTATTTGGAGAAAAAAAATTTCTTTAAATATCTTATTTTTCTATTATTTATATAAATACCTTTAATTTAAATATAACCAATTAAAAAAAAACGGTAAATATATCCATAAAATCTTAGTTACTTTAAGTAAACATCTATGACATGTAAGTTTTATAAGTATANAGTTTTTAAAAACACTTATTTGTTCCTCTTTGAATTATTTGAGCAATTATTCAGGGTTGGTTGGTTTAAGCTACAATTAAAACCAGACATGTTTTTATTTTAAAGAAGAAAAGCAAGTTTATCTATAGGTATTTATTTGGAGAGAAAAAATTTCTTTAAATAACTTATTTTTCTATTATTTATATAAATACCTTTAATTTAAATATAACCAATTAAAAAAAAACAGTAAATATATCCATGAAATCTTAGTTACTTTAAGTAAACATCTATGACATGTAAGTTTTAAAAGTATATTACTTGTCTACAAAAATATATTTATGAAATAATTAATGTTAGTGAATGTAAAATTATGTCATAATGTCACTAAAAAAATTTTAATTGACACCTATCACCAACTTTATGTTCTGATAGTTTTTAAAATTATTTAACAAAATATAATTATAAAGGTCAAAGGTTTCTCTGTTTTTTATTCTTGTTAAACAAATAGTATGTTATGTTAAGATAATAGTCAAAAACATAAATGAGGAAAGATGTGCTCTTTTATATTTTATTTAGCAGTTATTTTTTTAGTTTCTTCTGATATCAAATTGTATGCATGCAGTATATGTCTTTATAAATTATTCAAATGATTTCAAAATACAATGCAAGAGCATGATTAAAAATTATTGAAAAGCATTCAAAATTAATTTGAAACATTATCAATGTTTATTATTTCATTTAATGCTGCATTATTAATAAGCATTGTTATGTTTAAAGCTTTGTTGTGTTAAAAGAAATTTCATTTATTTTAACAGTTTATTCTTTATCTATTTTTAAACCTTTAGTACTAAGACATGTATGTAGCCCATTTCACATTTTTAGTCATTTTCATCATTCCATTATCAGAGCTCATTCTAGGCAACAAAAAAAAAGGGCAGGGTGCAAAAGTTTAAAAAAAAGGGCATTATTATTCTAAAAAGGCAATAATTTCTTTCCATGGGCTTTACACNGGGTAAATAATGATCACCTAAGTTATATTTTTAAAAAAAAAAAAAAAGTTTAAATTTGAGACATGGACAAGAATGCTTGTACACTTTACTAAAGTATAACTACATTTACTTAATAATAGCTTTTTGTTTTATCTAACAAAATAAGTATCTTTTAAACTGCTTTCTGTATTTTCAATTTCTAAGATGGGTTTCAAAATGTGCACATTTCTGCAAAGATCCCCCTCCTTCTCTTAATGATAAATATTTTGAGTTACTTTATATTTCTTTTATATAGAAATAGTGTAAGCTTTTGTTTAATTGTTTCACATCTACTGTAAACATTATAATTGATTATAGAAAACTGTATCAAATGTTGCCCCCTGCAGATGGGGTAATTATTGATCACTGGGGTAATTCCTGATCACTGTCATTTCTTCTTATAAATAGTATATAAAATAGCTAATTGTCTTTTCTTAAATAACAGTTCATATTTTTTAAGTGGAACAACTATAAAATATTGTAATGACTATATTTCATACAAATAATCACACCAGATTTCCATAACAATAAACTTAACTTTATTAAAAATTAAAAGAAACTAGTCATTATTTTTATATTCGAGCATCCAGCTCTTAAACAACCAAGGGAGAACCTCTCCCGACCAAGAAAAACATACATCTCCCTCGATTCCTAGCATGCCCCCGAAGGGGTGACACAATGCGCCAAGTGCGCCTGAACGATCGCCAAACAGTTGCCAAACATTACAAATATATTTTAACTATCATCACAAAATTTGTTTTTAACGGTATACAAGACTGTATTCTGATTTGCACCATTTCTGGTTTGTCATACCTTGCTTCTATCTTAATTTTATGTGTGTACATTGTTAGAATAATTTTTAAGTTTATAAATTAGCTTAGTATAAATATGATGAGAAATTATTAGCCTAAAAAGGATACTAAGCTTATAGAAGCTAAATTAGTTAATTTCTTTTAATGATTGAAAATGAAAATTTCAATGTGAGAGCTGCTGCCAGAGCTGTTGAGTTGACATACCTTACTTTACCTTACACTTTCACTTAATGAAGTTAAAAAATCCAGCAAAAGTAATCCATGAGGGAACTCTCTTATATTTCAGCAGAACATGAGAATGAGTTGGCTGATTGCCTAANAAAATAACAAAAGTTTAAGAAATCCACTGTAGAGTTTGGGGAAAAAATAAAGAAGGGTTGCGGAAAGAAAGGGCAAAAAGTGTATGGAGTCTTATTACATCAGGACACTAATTTACTTCAGGGGCAACAGGGTGGATTCTTTTGACTAAAAGGGCAGCAGGGTGCTGCGCCCTGTTTACCCTGCCTAGAATGAGCTCTGTCCATTATTTTGAAATATTTTTTAATCGAAAAAATTATTACCTTGCATTTTTCATTTTTAGTAATAAATTTTTGCAAATAATGTAAATTGAATACTGTTAAATACTGACATTAAATAATACCAAATTATAATATTTTCATATGCAGTGGCAAAGGAGAACTCATTCTTTTACTTACATAACTAATCTATCATTTTAAAATTAAATTCTTATTTGCATGTTAAGTAACATTAATGTAAATGTATATTAAAATTTCATGTTATTCCTTTTTGTTGTGTATACCTTTTTTTTATAGAAGGAAAATAGATATTTTTTAGATGATTGATAATATTAATTAATTCTTAATAAGTTTTTACAATTATACTTTATAATAGCTTAATTACGTATTTTTAATTTAGAGGATAAAGTATTATGCTTAACATTTTATTTAAAATAAAAGAAGAAACATTTTTTTTTTTTAAAGAAAAAAAAAACCTTTTTTCAACCTTGCATATATTTATAGAAAGTTTAAATGGTTATTCATACAAATAACAATAGAATGTTTTGTTTTCTAAATTAGGAGCTAATATTTTAACAAATAGGGTAGATATGAGAAAAGCATGTAAGAAAAGCAGGTGGCATGGGTTACCTTTCTAAAAATGTTCCTAGAGATAACTATAAATAGTTTTTAGGATCTAACTTTTTCAGTACATTTCTTCTTTTGCCGTAAACAATTTAAGATATAATTTATTTTTTATATAGATGCTTTGTTGTAGGTTTTATTGAGAATTTACATCATAACTGTCAGTTTTTATGCTCTTTGTATTTAAATTTTATCTAGTGGTAGCTAAAGCTACGACTCAATATTCATTTCCAAATTTAATGCATATAAATGACTTTTTTTTTAATACATTTTTAAATGCAAAAAATTTGACCATAGAAAAATTATTATCTTAGAAGGTAAGAAAATTGACCTTTTCATATAGAGCCCCTGTGCTGGTGTCCATACATACCCCTTTTTTTTTTTTTTAATTTTCTCAACAATCAGGAATATATTGTGTTTATATTTCGAAGCTAACTTTTTATATATTTTATTCATAATTTGATCTATTATTGAACAAAGCAAAAAGAATATGAAAAGCCTTTGTTTTTGTTACTAAATTTAAATGCTTTCTATGCAGACTGGGATCTCTTATTCCAATACTATTAATATACCAATACTTGCACAATTGCAAACCACTAAAAAGGGAAGCTATTTTTTTTTAAATTGTTAATCTTATTTCAGCAACAGTTATTTCTGAAGCTGCGTATAGTGCTGAAGTAAGTTGAACTTAACTATTTACAATTGTAGCTGGTAATTTGCTGGTTGTTTGATTTAAATCTTCATCCCAAACTTCCTCAGCTGAAAAAAATTAAAAGCATGTTATTTTCAAAAATTTATTTATTTATAAATAATTAAATTAAGTACACTTAGTAAGTTACACTGAATAGATTGTAATTTAAAATGTTTACTGGTAGTAATCCAAAGTTTTACTCATGTATTATATTTGTTTTTACTACAGTGTTTCTGGGTATGAAAATCTGTTAGCTTCTTTATCCACCTGTGAACTTCTCATGGTTAAATCTCATCGAGCACAAGTTGCAAATGAAGCAGAAATTGAAAATTATAAACAATTAGAAGATGAAATTGGTATGTTGTTTAATTATTCTCAAAATTGACAATGTAATAAATACTTTACCTTTGAGTAGTAAATACTTATGATATTTTTCTTAAAAATATTTAAATTAAGTAAAGCTAGTTAGAAATTATATTTGAGCAATCAAGGCTTTTGATTAAGACTGGTCAGACATCTGTATCAAATGAGCTTTGTGAATAGCAGAGCGAGACTTTTTACCTATGCAAATAAATTAGTTGAGTTTCTTTTTTTGCTAGACTGAAATAAACCTGATTAAGTGCAGTGTGACTGTGGTTTTCAAGAACTAAATACACTATGAATAAAAATCATTGATTAGCAAAGATGCCATCTGCTCCAAATAGGATAAAATCCAGAGATCAAGATAAAATCTACAAACTGAAATTTGCAGATTTTTGGTTAATTTTGCCAACTTTTTAAAACGCTCAACACTATTTAAAAGCAACAAAATTGCATGTCACATAACCCTTCAAATTATTTAGAAGTAGTGGTGAGTATAATCATAAATAGAATTTACTAAACCAAGAATCATACATGAAAAGACTACCACTCAAAAATACTTATCCTCTGTCCAGAGCAAGTTGGCATCTCTGTATTTGTATTATTGGCATATTTAATTTTCAGTGCCCAAATATAATGTAATTGTGGTGGAAAAAATGATATACTAATATCTAAACTCGAATGTATATTTTCTCACTAAACTACCATGTGTTCTCATTTCTGCTAGTTATCACAAATTCTTCCCAACTGCCTCTCTTCACGTGAAAAAGAAAAAAATTATTGAATGGTAGAGAATAAAAACCTAAACACCCAGAATGTTGTTCAATTTTGACAGCACTTAAAGAGCTCTGCTGCAAGATAATTCACCGGGATGCATAGCATTTTTTAAAGGTGCTTATTTAGGTTTTTTTTAAAGCCCTTGAAGGTGCTTTTTTCGTTGGGTGTTTTTAAAAAATACTTAATTTTCCCTTACTTAGTTGATTTTAGCCACGCATTATACAAAAAGACACTGTTCATATTGTTCTATTCAACGTTTTCACAATTATTTCAACCCTAATCTATTTTGGCTTACCATCGGTCCTTAGTGTATGAATCCATTCGTTTTATGATTCAAAATTTCATGGTTTTTGACTATTGTCAAAAACAATGCCAAAAGTTTTTTTTTGACATGACTGTTAAATCCGGATAAAATTGTCAATTGTCGAAAACTTGCCAACCCTGCCTTATTATAATGTCTTAAAAGTGCTTAAAAATATTCTTGAGTGCTTCAAAAGTGATTAAAAGGTGCTTATTTTTTGTTGAAAAATTTGTCTATGCACCCTGTTCTCAATGTTTCATTGTATATATTCATTTTAATTATTTAAGCATAAGTATGCATGGTAGAAAAAATCATTAACTTACTGAATTGAAAATCATTCTCAAAACATAAATTTAGCTTTCAAAAGAACAATTTTCTCTTAACGTTGAACAAGTTATTATTTTAAGTCTAAAAAGTAACATTGACTAAAATGGAAAGAAAAGATTTTAAAATTGTCCTCTGGAGAGAAGAGAGGGAAATAAATATATTAATTGTTCAGCATTTAACTTGCACCTGCTAATAATCCTTGTGGGAATCGGTTTTTATTAGAGGTATTGTTTCAAGGAGATAGAGAATATGCTCTTTAAATATTTAAAGGATTTTAAATAAATATCGGTTATTTTAAATCTCTTTCATTTGAATGTAATCATACTAAAATTCAATTTCAACAGATCCCGCTTTAAAAAATTTTTTAGAAAGGCCTTTACGTCCTCATTTTATTTTTACGGATCTTTGAAAATAAAGGATTGCAGTAAGGAGCTAATTAATTAATTAGTTTGTGTTATGTTTAAGTTCAATAAAATGTATGCCTTATTTAAAAAAAACGATCAATTTCCTTAAAAATGCACATTAATGAAGGTAAATAAAAAATGCTATTTTGAATTTTTTTTTCTTTTTTCGATATTTTATGAGAATATCATTTAATTCTCAACTTTTAACTATATCAAATCTTAAAATACTTTAAAATGTGACTTATAGTGTTCGTAATAAAATCTTGTTTTAAATGCAGTTTACTTTATGTTATAAATAATTTTTTTTTTTTCAGGAAAAAATATTTCTGAAGTTAAAGACACCATTGTGCAAAAAAAGCTGGATTTACAGCAAGCAAAGAAAATTCGTGAACATAAACAACGTGAGTTATGGTGGAAAAAATATTTTGTTAAATTTAGATTGAGTGTTATTGTAAAAATTGAATGTATTGTTCTTTTTTTTTTTCTTCTTTTTTTTATAGTTTGAAAAAATAAGTTAGCAACGTCAAAACTTTTGAAGTAAAAGGTGTTTAAGTTACTTTTTGGTTTTCAAAGTTCTTCATGTTTTTAATTACCTGTTAAGAATATTATACATGTAATAGTAAAAATTTTCAGTCATTATTCATCAAGCAACATATTATTCATCAAACCACTAGATAACTGTCATAATCATATCATAATGATGTTTTTGTGATTCACAGTTCCAGACGTTTCTACAATTACTGGCAAACTTCTATTTTTTTCTGAAATTTTTAGATCTATATCTTGTTTTTAAAATTGTTTTAACTGTTCAATTATTGAAATGTTCTGTTCTGTTTTATTCATAAAGTTGTAAGGAACTTTTTAGTAAGTCCAGAAAAAACTCAACTTAAGAGGTATCAGTAAAATGATGATTATTACCATGGCATTATGAAGACACATTAATAAGATGATTTTTGAATTAAACAATAAAAAATATGCTTGATTTTCAATAAAAAATATATTTGTAATGATTATGCTCATTTTAATTAATGTTCATTTATTTAAAATTGTAATTGAGGTACTCTAATTAAGGTAAACAATAATTCTAATGATTTTTTTTTTAATTTATAGATGTAATTTCCAGCATGAATTGATTTTTGAAGACAATAGCTTTTTTTATTATTAATTTTAATTTTTTTAAAAAATGGTGAAATATGAGAAATATTTAAGAATGACCTTGATTAGTTATTCTTAAAATGACTTATTATCTAAATGTGGATTTTCACTGAATTGAGTTATAAGTTGTTTTATTGTTAATAATTTAAAAAGTTAATGTACGTTTTAGAATATTAAACGTAATTAAAATTCAAATTGATGATCTGTAAAGTAAGAAATATATTTTATGCTGGCAGAGTGTAGTGCGTTGTGGAAAATGCCCAGCAAGCATAATGAAAAAGTCATCTTTTAACTAATCATAAATTTTATTAAGCAAGAAAAATCATAACTTAACTTAAACATCATAAAGGAAAACAATCCTCTCCATAACATGAGGTAACGTATTCAATACATACAATCATGAATATCAAAAGAAACAAAACTCCAAATCCAATCTTGATTTGTTATATATATATACATAATAACAGTTGCATAATGAGGGTACTTACACACTCAAAATTAATACTATGCAAATTCTGTCTTTAAACTATTTTTAAATGTTCGAACTCCCTCCTTCAGAGGTTTTTCGAACTCGTGATCTCTGACTCTTACTCGAACCTTGTTCATTGAAATTCATGGTCTAACATGCGGCCCCATCGAACATTTCAAAATAAATTCCTTTAATTTTATTTCATTCAGTCTTAGTTAAAGCCTTAGTCAAAAAATCAGCCAAATTACTTTTACTTTTAATATACTTAATTTCGAATTTTCCCTCATTAAGCAAATTTCTCGCGAAATGAAATCTTATATCAATATGCTTCGTCTCTAAATTTTCAACATTATTTTTACAATAATAAATTGCAGATTGATTGTCACAATACAAAACAGGTTTTTCAATTTTTGATATTATGTTTAACTCATTACATATGTTTGTAAACCATAAAAGTTCTTTAACCGTATC